TTGTAAAAACGTCCCCCCTCAGGTTGTGGTACACCCGTCTTTTTTCTATGAAATCTTAACTGATTTTTAAACAGTAAACGTAAGAATAACTTTCATATTGTTACACTGTAAAACAAAATAGTTTTTCTCATCAAAAGTCATCAAAATAATTGCAACTTTTATGTTATGTTATACAAGAATCAACTCAGTTCAAGTCAGTTTAATGTAATTTAAGTTTAAATGACTTAAACATCAAAGTAAGTGTTATATTGATTGTACTTAAAAATTGAAGGCAGCAACTTTTTTTCTTCTTTTTTTTACATTGATATTTCAAAATGAACATTGGCTGGACTATAATTCAACAGGCTTTGAGGAACGTTTATTTGTTCATTTCTCAGTTGCATTGCATTATATGTTTTGCCCCCCAGAATAAACAACAGGGATCTGATAATAAAACTAAGTATTTATATATCATCATAATAAGACATATTATTGAGAGGTACAGTCACAACTGATGTATACATGCATTTTATGTCCTTAGTCTGCTATACTGCTATAAATATCTCAGTATATCAGAATTTTATGTTTCTTTTTGGCCAAATAAATATCAGCAACTGCACCAAATTGCCTATTTTTTGCTCAGTTTAGGCCTCTGAATAATATCAATGAGTTTTTTTCCTCTTTGAGTATGAGCTCCATATTCTCCTATATCATATTATATGAGCCATAAAAGCCTGATGTATCAAATATGACAACACACTTTTAAATTTTTTTTAATAAAGTGCTCCATTAAAAAAAAAAACTTTCTGACTATCATATCATATGCAAGGCTTTACAGGGTAAATCTTAACCAGTGTTAAGGTTTTCTTTCTTTTGATCAATGTAAAAAAAAGGCATTCTTTCAATACTATTTTTCTTCCTCTCCTTCTTAAATACTGACCTCATTTAGCTTTTATTACAAGACCTTCAAAGCTACAATAAAGCAATAAGCCCTGTGAAGCCGTGGTTTACAGTGAAATTAACACAGCTGTTCTAAATTCACTGTGAACCACGACGTCACGGGGCTTTTATAAAACGGTTAGTCCATGAACATGCAGGTCCTTCTCAAAAAATTAGCATATTGTGATAAAGTTCATTATTTTCCATAATGTAATGATAAAAATTAAACTTTCATATATTTTAGATTCATTGCACACCAACTGAAATATTTCAGGTCTTTTATTGTTTTAATACTGATGATTTTGGCATACAGCTCATGAAAACCCAAAATTCCTGTCTCAAAAAATTAGCATATTTCATCCGACCAATAAAAGAAGTGTTTTTAATATACAAAAAAAAAAAAGTCAACCTTCAAATAATTATGTTCAGTTATGCACTCAATAGTCAATACTTTAATACACAATACTCGGGAATCCTTTTGCAGAAATGACTGCTTCAATGCGGCGTGGCATGGAGGCAATCAGCCTGTGGCACTGCTGAGGTGTTATGGAGGCCCAGGATGCTTTGATAGCGGCCTTAAGCTCATCCAGAGTGTTGGGTCTTGCGTCTCTCAACTTTCTCTTCACAATATCTCACAGATTCTCTATGGGGTTCAGGTCAGGAGAGTTGGCAGGCCAATTGAGCACAGTAATACCATGGTCAGTAAACAATTTACCAGTGGTTTTGGCACTGTGAGCAGGTGCCAGGTCGTGCTGAAAAATGAAATCTTCATCTCCATAAAGCTTTTCAGCAGATGGAAGCATGAAGTGCTCCAAAATCTCCTGATAGCTAGCTGCATTGACCCTGCCCTTGATAAAACACAGTGCACCAACACCAGCAGCTGACATGGCACCCCAAACCATCACTGACTGTGGGTACTTGACACTGGACTTCAGGCATTTTGGCATTTCCTTCTCCCCAGTCTTCCTCCAGACTCTGGCACCTTGATTTCCGAATGACATGCAAAACTGAGCAACAGTCCAGTGCTGCTTCTCTGTAGCCCAGGTCAGGCGCTTCTGCCGCTGTTTCTGGTTCAAAAGTGGCCTGACCTGGGGAATGCGGCACCTGTAGCCCATTTCCTGCACATGCCTGTGCACGGTGGCTCTGGATGTTTCTACTCCAGACTCAGTCCACTGCTTCCGCAGGTCCCCCAAGGTCTGGAATCGGTCCTTCTCCACAATCTTCCTCAGGGTCCGGTCACCTCTTCTCGTTGTGCAGCGTTTTTTGCCACACTTTTTCCTTCCCACAGACTTCCCACTGAGGTGCCTTGATACGGCACTCTAGGAACAGCCTATTTGTTCAGAAATTTCTTTCTGTCTTACCCTCTTGCTTGAGGGTGTCAATGATGGCCTTCTGGACAGCAGTCAGGTCGGCAGTCTTACCCATGATTGCGGTTTTGAGTAATGAAACAGGCTGGGAGTTTTTAAAAGCCTCAGGAATCTTTTGCAGGTGTTTAGAGTTAATTAGTTTATTCAGATGATTAGGTTAATAGCTCGTTTAGAGACCCTTTTCATGATATGCTAATTTTTTGAGACAGGAATTTGGGGTTTTCATGAGCTGTATGCCAAAATCATCAGTATTAAAACAATAAAAGACCTGAAATATTTCAGTTGGTGTGCAATGAACCTAAAATATATGAAAGTTTAATTTTTATCATTACATTATGGAAAATAATGAACTTTATCACAATATGCTAATTTTTTGAGAAGGACCTGTATTTCTTTTAATATTTATCACAGGTGTATGATTGCAGAGTAATGTACAATGGCTTCAAACGTGGCTCAACCAATCAGAAACAAGGACCGGAACTATCCATTTTATAATGTCCATTTTGACCTCCTTTCTGTAAATAAAAAAAGTGCTTTTACTAACAAACTAAACACTTTTAATCGTATAATAATCACACATATTTCGTCTATATGTGTCTTTGAGGACTTTTCTGTCACATTGTGTTGTTAAGTGCTGATCTGTTGTAATTAGAGAAGGCATGCGTTTGTCCTTAATTTATTTGCTCCCTTAAGCCCAAAGTCAGAGACACTCATTAGGATAACGAATGGCAGCTTTGGAAAGAGGTCTCAGGACACAGAATTCTTCCAACTCCTACATGACTAGACGACTAATAAGTCTCATCATGGCTGCTCCCTGTGCATGAGGATTTTTGAGAACAACACCGTTTTTAAAAATGTCAACCCACAAGGGCACTTACGCTAACAAATAACTTGAATTGCTTGTTTTTGTGCCATATAGACTCACTCCGCAACAGATTATTTAGAAATGCAATTTAGTTCTTGGCGTGAATAAATTGAGGGGAGCGCACGTATATAAAGCAGGTCATTTGAAGATTCTCCATGGTGTGAATTTTACGCAAGTTGTCTGTGGCATAACTGTGGCGATGAATGACTTCATTTCACAGCTATAATATTATTAGAGGTCCACAGAATATTTACACCACACGTGTGGAATGAAATGAGCGAAATGCTGCATTAAATCCAAGAGTCTCCTCTCCACACACGGCAATGCAGAACGCACATTTAGCATGTGTATGCGGAATAGAGTCCTTGGCTGGATTTTATCGCGGATTCGTATTAAATCTGTGGCTGTGAGATGAAAGGACACTTGGCAGTTGGCACTTCTAAGCGGTGTGAAAAGTGAGGGACGTTTCTTGACTTCTCTTGACTCCATGCGATTCAATGATCATCTCAAATTGCATGCATGCTTCAGATGAATAATTCAAGTGAAATTAAAAACCAAAAGTTCACATTAAAAATGCAAAGCCATATTACAAGGATCATTTCGGGAGGAAGTGGTTGATATCGGTTCAACCACGGAGCATGGGGAAGTGTTACATCACATGAGAAGTATAAAATGAAAAATGAAATGCCTCGCTGATACAAGTTCATCCCACTTTCAGGAAACACAAACAGGCATTTTGGGCACATTCAACCCACTCTTTACATTTACAGTATTCATGTTGCATGATTATAAGAAGTAACCAACATGAGAGTTAGAGTTATTGTACTATGTAGCTACTTGCAAATACAACACTACATCAGACAATTGAGTACATGATTCAGAAAAGTTATTGTGTGTGTGTGTGTGTGTGTGGGGGGGGGGGGGGGGGGGGGGTGTATTTTTCTTCCTCTGTTTCTTACTCATTTAGCCTTATTTCCAAAAACTTCACAAAGCTACAATGTAACCTCCTTTCTGAAAATTAGATGGGCTTTTATAGTGGTTTCACTAACAAACAAAATACCTTTAGTCGAAAATGTACTATTTTGTATGCATATTTCATTGCAGGGAAATATGCATGTTTGGAAACATTTTTTTTGGCTATATATTTATATATACACACACATTCTTTAATATGATCAGTACGTTATAGCAACATTTGTTTTTACATTGCTTTAACTTGTGTAAGTTATAGCCTACAAGATTCAACTAATCTTTTTAAGTCAGTTTAATGTAATTTAAGTTGAAATGACTTAATGACATTCAAGTTGATTGTACTTAAGAATTTTAGACAGCTTTTTACAGTGTATATATATATTATTTATACAGCAAATAATACTATTTACAAGCAGCTCTGTAGTGTTATACTACATGCAGTTTGTTGTAACAAGGACATTGTAATGTAAAGCGTTAGGCACTTTTTGTTCTGAATGTCAGGCTCTCTCCAGGGGTTTTCCTGACACACCAGCAGAGCACCTGTGCATTTCTGCAGCTGAAGCTCTGCCTGAACTTCACTGCTGCAGAGCTCCTTATATCCCTATCTGTCAAATCAAACCCTGTCAATCACCATCATCCAGCACACACACACACACACACACTTTAACAGTAAACCAACACGAGCTGCTCCTATTTGACCTGCTGATTAAGCATCTGCTGGTTCAATCGGCACTGATTCGATGTGAATTCTAATGCAGCAACAAATGTAATGAAAACACACGGCTGCACCTGAAACCCCATGCAAGGTGAAACAATGAGCAGACAGAATAATTATAACAATAAAACACTAAATACTGATTTGAAAATATCTACTTTACCCGAATAACGTGTTTTGTCCCTCCTCGCAGTACGTGTATTTCTTCAGTCTGTGTTCCACAAGCGGTAGATGAGAGATGCTGACATCGCAGTCACTGGGATTTCGGGAAAACCATTTTGCCCAAGTCTTTGCGTCCAGAGAGAGAGAGAGAGAGAGAGAGAGACAGAAGAAAAGCTCAGGATGTAGGAAGGTTTCGCCCTTTCTCCTTCGGTTCTGACTTCACCTCTGAATATAATATTCCAGCACGGCTCCCTCGCAGTGTGTCTGCAAACTGCGCTCAAAGCTAGACAGTCCAGCGCCTGTGCCAAGCTCACCTCGCTGGGTTCACAGCCACACAGAGAAAGAATGAGACGTTGTTTGCGGCCAGATTTACATTCAGCGTGTCCAGCCAGCGCTGGGTCTAGCAAATCAGCAGAATGATAGCGAAAGACTGGAGTGAGACACTGTATGAACAACAGCGCCACCTTCCGACCTAACCGCACAATTCGCCGTTATGACTAATTAGGATTTTTTTTTTTTTTACAGTTTTAGATTCCCCTTCACGATTCTGATTCCAGAATGGTTCCATATTAACGATTTTTTTCTTTTGATGAATGAATGAATGTCCTTTGGATTTGATCAATTTATTGAGTCTTTGCTGAGTATTTTTTTTTTGAGTGTGTGATAATACCTCAAAATTTTGATAGTGTATTACAGTTTTTACAAAACTATTAAGCAGCAAAAACATCAACAAAATACATTTCAACATTGATAATAATCAGAAATGCTTCTTGAGCATCAAATCGGCATATTAGAATGATTTCTGAAGGATCATGTGACACTGACTGGAGTAATGATGCTGAAAATTGATCGCAGGCATGAATAGCATAGCTTCAGTATTTTAAATTGTAATAATTTTTCACAATATTACTCATTTTACTGTATTTTTTTTTACCAATACAGCCTCGCTGAGCATAAAAGACCTAAAAAAGATCTTAATTCTATTCTAAGCTTTTAGTAGTATTTCTTAATTAGTATTTTTTGTCTTGATTTCTGATGTAAATATCTAAACGTTCCTGAAAGATGATATATTTCAGATGAAAAAAACAACAACATAAAACATTAAGTCTTATTTTCAGAGAAATAGAATGAAATTTAGTGATATTTTTGCTTTGCAGGGTAAGAAAAAGAAACGTGTCTTCCTTTTGAATCATGTAAATTTTTCTTATCTCATTGGCAAATAATTATTTCCTTGAAATAATGAATTATTATTGTATGTCATTGTGCTTCTTAAATAAATATGTAAATGTATTTTGTTTTAAGTTGGGATGTTTAATTATTTATACTGGAATTTTTTTTTTTTTTTTGGCAGCATAATTGGGATGTTTCCACATGAAGCCCCATTTTTAGGATCCCTTCCAGAAGATGTTTTACAGTGTGGGCTGTATAGCTTCCATTGCACTGATCTTGAAACTTTCATTAACATAAAAAACTGACTGATTTATCTCTGAAACCTGCAGCAGAGAGCCAACTGAACTTGTTATGTGAAACATGACAGGCTTGCAGTTATGCTCAATGCCTTGAGAAAGATTACATATCCGAGTGTGATTAAATTGACCTTGAAACGAGACTAGTGAATCCCATTCATAGACAAATAACACGATTCTGTGAGTGCCACTCTTCCACAAGTGTAACTAGACCTGTGTCAAGACGAGTGTCACTTTTGTGTGAACTTTTCTCCCCACGTTTACACAACTTTAGAAGGGTTAACAAGCTTTACCAGCAGATGTTATTCAGGTCTCGGCAATAAACAAGTCCCTTCACCTCAGCGCGCGCACAAACCTAATTCAAGGAGGAGAGCGAGTTTAATTGAGCCTTTAGTTAAGCTACTTTCTGCGTTTCATTTGCACACAAGTCAAGAACTTCTATAAAAACATCACTGTCGATCAGCAGACCCCACAGGCCTGCACTGGAGTGTAAAACACGCACGTTCGCCCACCAAAAACACAGCGTTTTATTAGCACTTCCCAGACATATCCATCCATATCACCCCATTATAATTGTTGTTGGAAACAAGAGCGGAAGATTAGGTGATCTTTGGAAAGGTCGAACTCTCTCCTCCGGGTGTTGAGAACAGGTCAATTCCAGAGACAAACCCCTGTAAAATAAGCTCTCTTTATTAAAGCCGAAGCCGTGTTCCTTCCCCACTGCCATTAAACACACATTAATCATGCTTACTTCAGCCCAGGATACTTTAACACAGCCCAGCCATCATTAATAACGCTCCATCCAGTCCCGCGTTGACATTTCCTTTAATTATCTCCGTAATTTATTCATGTACTGTATCAGTGGCGCTTGTTGTGCGAAGCTGCCTGCGAGGAATATTTTGCTCAAGCCTCTTCAAGACACAGGATTAACTATGCTAATGAGGAAGCTGGGAGGCATGACTGCTATTTGTGCGTGTTAAGCCGGGAAGCCATTAGGCCCCCGATTTACACGTGCCAATTGAAACAGGTTCGAATTTGTTACCGTGTCAGAAATATTTTGAGTATTTTATCTGTGTGGCTGGGAGATCATTTTTGTCAGACATTTTTTTTTTTTTAGGTTTTCATTCTTGGTTATAACCACTGCCGTTGTGCAATAGAAGCAATGGTGACATTTTTTCTCCATTTTGTCACATGGTGGAGTTTGGGTTCCTTGCCACTGTCGATATTATTGATCTTACTATACTGACGCTGATGTATGATAACTAACCTGAGCAGAACGATGCATATTTTTTTTGCAGAACTGCTTTATAGATAAATAGATAATTGATGATCTTTACAATGGAACTGAATCAACACGAACTGACTTCGAACTGACAGCTTAACAACAGCCGAAATGCATAATTTTTCCTGTTATCACTGTGGCAAGCTGCTTTTAAACAACCCGTATTGTATAAAGTGCTATATAAATAAAGGTGACTTGACTATAATGTACAGTACTTAGCAGATTTTTCTTTGATGTAACATTGTCTACACTATAATCATTTTAATATAGAGCATAGCACCCTGTGCTTTTACAGCCAGTGTTGGGGAAGCTACTTTGAAACTGTAGTTTGACAAGCTACAAACTACTCGTTAGTTAAAGTAGTTAAACTACAGTCAAGCTACCCTTTTGGAAAAGGAGTTAGCTGCACTACAAGTTACGATCAAAAAGTAGCTAGCTACATTGAAACTACTTTTGCTTTTTTTGAACAACATATTATAAATAACTGAATAAGTGTCTGAGGAATGTTTTAAGTAAAATATTTAGTGTTTAAAACAATGCAATACAATTATGATTTTTATTGTTTTATTACACACAACACTCAAATATCTCAGACTGTTTGTCAAAAGTGCAAAATTGCAACAAATACAACATTGCAAGAACAAAATAGGCCTATACATCCAACCAGGGGCGTAATTTGTGGGGGGGATGGGGGGGATATAACCCCCCCAATATTTAAATCTATGCATTACAACCCCCCCATTATTTATACCATGATCACAATATCAGGAGGCATACCCAAACTTCAACCCCCCCAATGTTCAAACCAAATCTACGCCCTTGCATCCAACGTAAATTGCATGTATAGACTTTTTCTCAAAAATACCGATTGTGATTGTGAGATGGTTGCATTTTGGCAAGAAAATACATTGAACAACAGCTCACATGTGGCACTGACAATGCACGTTAAACTCGCTCACATGCAGTGATGGAGCTCGCAGAATTTACTGTGAAAGAAGAACCTGAATCACAAGCTGCTTGTGAGCACAGTTCGGTTCGCTCCGGATCCAGTCACAACAAATCTATACAGCAATTTAATTAGATCAAAGCCTTTGTCGTGCGATAAACAAACTAAGATTACATTTTTTGTTCAACTGAAACACGATGGCGCAAACTTTAGTTTAGTGGTCTTTTTATGGAGCCAGATCAGACTCATTAATAATTCACGCAAAAAATACGATTCACACATGCGTAGACAATTTCACATGCGTGAAACCTAATTCACGTACACACACAAAAAAAATCACGTGCGTGAAAAAAAAACATATTCACAAAAAGCAATTCACATGCACAAAATAAAATTATATATTCATAAAATACATTTCACAAATGCAAAACACAATTCGTAGATATACAACTGTGCACAAAAACCTTTGAATCTTTAAAATGTACGAGTGTGTCCTTGAATTTGAATGTGCAAATCGTCATTCACGTACGAATCGCCTTGGATGTGTGTGTGTGTATTTTTGAGACTTTCCTGGCAGCGCTTACTCGTAAAACACAAGGGGGTAATCCATCGACCGGAAGTTGAAGCCGGACGGGTGCCGCCATGTTGTAGCAGAACTTCACTTGCGTTAGCATTTCCATTGACTCCCATTCATTTTTGCGTCACTTTGACAGCGAATAACTTTACATCTGAGGCGTTTAAAGACTCCATTTGTCCATTATTTATTTCTAAAGAAACACGACAATGTATAAAGGGCTCCATTACCTTCTATGTTACACTATGGCCCCGTAGAAACAGATTTAGTAAAAATAGGCTAACGATTGCGTCATAACCACTCGACTCTCTGTCGCGCTGTACAGAAGTTACCGTACAGACAGCAGGAGAAGCTCGCAGGCAATCGGGGGGACGTCCCGTCAAGGGAGAAGCCCATAGATAATGAGTCCATAAAAGCAACGGAATTCTTACTCCTGCTCACTCACGCCAAAGAACTCTTTGCTCAAGTTCCCCGTCTCTGCAAGATTAACGTTGGCAGTTTTCACGCACAGCTACTAGAAGATTAACGTCTGTCAGACAGGTTGCTCACGTCATCAAGCTTAGTTTGAGTCGGTCTGAGTCTGCGCGTCAGGAACGGAAGTTCTCAAAAATCGCTAAAAGTGGGCTTCAACTGTCTCAACTGAGTTCCAATGAGATCGCTCTGTCCATTTCTTTTACTGTCTATGGTAAAACAGAGCAGTCGTACTCTTCAGCCAATCAGATTTAAGCTCATCAATCGACCAATCAGTATCACGTGAGGGCGGTCCTATCTGTATGTTACGTCATCAGCTTTCGACCAGTTCATGGCTGAGCAGAGGTAAGTGCAGTTAATCGTTCATTTCGGTGTTAACTGAAGTTAGAGATCAGTTGAAGCAATAGTTTATGAACTATTAACTGATGTAAGCAAGTGTTGTTGTAATCAGATGTCCCATATCGTGTCAAAAATGAAGAAGGATGATGCTTGTTTTGTTGTATTTTAGACAGCTCTCAGCTACAATCATCACGCTAATGATTGCAAAACAATCATCTGTGGTCAATACCCACCCTAGCTCTCTCAGCACTGGCCTCATCGAGATTGTTCTTATAATGGTGAATAGACCTTTTTAATGAGCACCCAGTGTTTATTTGCTATTTGTGTATGTTGTTAAATTA